TTTTCACTCAGCTTTCCCCACAGAGGTATTGCACTCTGAGTTATTTGCTGTTATGTTAATGAACCGAGAACAAGAAGTTATGCTTTATGAAGAAATGTCGTGTGCGCGCACTCAGTCAGTTTTTCAACAGTTGGTCAGGAAATATTATGTTAAGAGAAGGCTTAAGATAAACAGAATACATAATGAAGTCAATATAGATTGGTATACCGATGGAATATTGATTCTAAGGGTGAAAAAGTCGGCATCACGTAATAGGAAATTGTTTTATTTCGCGTCAATAAATAACTTGAAGATTCTCACCATCTATATGTTGTGAAAAGGTGCAGTTTGTCTCCTTTGGATGAAGAAGACTTGTTCGTCAGAGCAAAGAAAATCTTATCCATGGCTGAGCTGATAGGATGTAATAAATACATAACGCCACATGAACTTGTTAAGGTATTTATACCGGGTTTTTTTTCTTAACGTGGATCAGTTGATCTCCTTAACCGAGATTTTGTATCGTGAGAAAATTATTCAGAAAAACAAGGAACATTCAGCTCACAAAAATCAGGAACAATGATCATTGTGAAAATTAGTCGTTATTTGGTTTCTTTTTTTTTTTTCCAGGGAAATCCACGGCTAAACCTTGCTTTTTTGGCGAACTTATTCCATTGTAGGCCAGGACTTGAGTTCCATGCGACTGATATGGAAAGTGCTCGACTTATAGAGGAACTCAACACGGCTCACGTCAGGTACTGCCAGGAATTGAACTGATAACTTTTCCTGAAAAGTGTGTCTTAGTCTTACTCTCATGTTATGATTAGTAATAGATTGTGATTAGCTTCCAACCGGCTACATTATTACCAACAACTGGCGACATGGACATAGTTGGAATTTTAAGTTTTATTCGTTTATGGCATTGTGTTTCAGTTAAATTCTGAAAATCGTTGGAATGTCTCTTTTAGGTGTCGTTTGGTCGAAGAAGAGCGAAATCTTTTGATGGAAGTGAGACGAGAGATGTCTGGGGAGCTGAAAGACGTGCGTAAGAAACTGGAGGAAAGCCTCAAAGAAATGGAGATTCTCAAGAGAAGAGCTTTGGGGCTTGAAGATGAAAATAAATATTTGGTAAGTATCCCAACTAAAGACAAAAAAAAAACACCCCATTCATTTCATTCTGCGGTTTTTCTTCGATTTTTCAGACTGACGTCGATGAGGCTGTTCGACGTCTAAAAGCAGAAAACTCGCTGCTTCAAATTCAGCTCACTGACTCGAAAGCCGTAGAGGATGATTCCCAAGCTACCATAGCGAATCAAGAAATAACAATTGATAGCTTGAAGAAAGAAAAAGAGGTTTGAACACATCATTTGTTTTTTCCTCAGTCAGTATTAATATGCACAACCGACTATCTCTGCTCTCCAGTCCTAAACGGAGAGCACCAGAAAGACGTTATATGTTACCTTAGTCCGGCCTAGGCTCGAGTACACGAGAGGACCCACTTTCAAATGCGACATTGTCAGGCTAGAGGGATTACATGGAACAGGAGCCCGCTTTTGTACAAACGAATACAACTGGTCGTCAAGGGTCATGTCCATACTTAAAAAATTTGAACTTTGCACCCCTGTAGAAAAGAGAAAAAGATCTCGCTTGATTAATTGATATTAAGATTAGCGTTTATTTAAATTTTAGTAATGCGACCTGTTCTAGGAGTAACCATGGGCTCAAGCTTCTTAAACCTCACTGTAAGAAAGAAGTGTTCGAATCTTATTTTTCCCAAGAACTACTAGAGACTGGAATCAGCTCCTCCCTGATGTGCCTCGTATTACGTCTCTTGCTGAATTTGGGAATCAACGGAGTTCACTAGTTTAATAAGGGCGTGTCAAATTGACGCGCCCTGTATCGTAATTATTGTAGCTTGTAATTTTTACTTTGCATTTTGTAAGTAGTTGGCGCGTTGCCTAACTGGCTTTTAGCAACCTTATTGACATAATAATGATGATGACTTATAGGTAAATGTTTCCTTACTCTAGGCACTGGTCAAAGAATACGAGGAAAAAATTAACGAACTAGAGAATAAAATCTCTGCAACCACTCGAAAACAAACAAAAATAGTTCTTCAGAAAGAAGCTATTATGCATGAGAGAGACGTAAGTAGTTTGAGCGTTATTACGCAATTAAGTGGATATATTTTAAAGTAACATTTTGTGCAAACTACAAGTAACTTTATTTCTTCTGTGCTTTAATGCCAATATCACGGAATTGAGATGAAATTGAGATACTGAAAAGTGGTAATCGACCTTTTAGTTTGTAACCGACACTGTTTTGCTTTCTTTTGTTTCTAAATCCAGCTCTTAAAACGGAAACATGACAAATGCCAAGCAGAACTCAAAAGACTTCAAGCTCAGGTAAGTTGTAAGTCGCAGTTAAAGAAGAAAACTTTTCACCCAAGTAACTCTATATTGGATATTTTCTTGAGTTATTGTTGTGGAAATAATAGCCAAGCTGTTACAGATATATCTTCGTAAAAAAAATTATGTTCTGTCACATAGTCTGTTTTTGTCGATCTCCATCGAAACTTTGAATCATTAAGAACATTAGCATCAACTTAATTATTATTTTATATACTTAAAATGATATGTGTGGATATTAAGTGTTTGCCGATTGATATGGAATGAATAATGAAGCCTATTCCCTTTATCAGTGATAAAAATCTTCACAGTTGTTTTTTTAACTATATTTTTTTATCCAACAGATTGATCGTCGTCAACGACACGTCCATCAACTTCGTCAGCTTTTTAAATATTTTATTTCCGACAAAGGACTAGCAGAAAAACTTTATGGGGTAGGCACATCATAATTGGTGAACTACCCGACAGACCAACTGACAAGCCGACGTACTGACAGAATGGCCGACCGACAGACAGAGGCAGACAGACGGACCGACTGACCGACCGGCCGATAGACAGATAGACCGACCGACAGAACAACAAGACTGACCGGCCAACTGAGCGACGGACCGACTTGCTGGTTGGCTGAATGACTTGACGACACATCGACTGACTGTCCAATACCGCTGACTAATCGACCTCGAGCGTCATTATAACAATATTTACAATAGAACATCTTCAGACTTATTTTCTAAAACTTTTTTCATCAGAACTTGGACACGACATCTCTACAAAGCAGAAACGGCAAAAGCAAAGTGACAAAATGTAAGTGATTTGATATTGTATTTAAATCAATAATTGAGTACTCTCCACTGTAGTCTCAAGTAGCTTTAGGATCATCGCTACATCGTGTTCACTGTCCCCTTTGACGTGGAGAATGTGCCTTGTTGTCCAAGTTATTCTGTTCCTTATTCTCATCTCTTCCCTTCTTTGAGTTTTATTTGAACTGTCTCTCTTGTAATATTACCCTCTCTTCAACTTGTAATTTTCAGCTTCTACCATGGTCCAATCATTTCCATTGCCTAGTTAGTTTTATCTTATTACTATGTGATTTTGTTTTGTTGACGAACCTCTCATCTTGCAGTTTGCCAGGAAGGAGGTTGGTATTTACGAGAAACAGCTCCACAAATTTTCCTACTGAAGGATAATTTTTTGTTTGTGTTCGATCGCGAGGAGGTAGGTGTCATTGAACTCCGGAGCAGAGATTTTCTTTTCTTGTAGGAATGTCTTGAAACTAGACGATTACTTCAGTAAGTGATTAGCCAATCACACTTGCGTTCTTCTTCAGGAGGACGCCCCTTTACTTGTGCTGCGCTTGGATCAGGCCACAGTAAACAAACAAGAACATTGTGTGCTGCAATTGAAGTTCTCTCAGAAAGAAGTATGTTCACAGAATGACTCAGCTTCACTAAGCACGTGGTAGTTTTTTCTTTAGTAATCGATACCGGGAAGTGTTGAGGAAGTGCTTAAGGTCATTTCCTGGGTCCAGTTGTATAAAGGGTGGATAACACTATCCTACGTATAAATCACTATCCAGCAGATAAGTGATAGTAAACGTACTGCGCTATCCAGTGAATAGAGATTTGTTCAGTTGTTAGAGTTAATCAACCTTTGAACAACCGAGGCCTGATTTTCTATCATTGAAGCGACGGCACTGTTAACTGGCACCATGAAAGTATTTGGTAATAAAGAGTTGAAGACAATGAAATTTTTAATTGCTGGTTCCAGTTTCGATTTTTTGACCGTGTTATTTTATCAGGGTAGTCGACTATTATTGGCTCCAACGATTCTTTTACGTTGGAATGACCAGGTTAAAGGAAGTATTTATCTCGAGTTTTCTCTTCTTGTTTAGTTTTCGTACCACATAAAAGTTTCGCCCGCCTCATATGTCAAAGATTTGCAACAAGAACTGGAAGTAGCCGCTGACTGGTGGACTGAAAGACAAAGGACTTCGCCTTGTTCCCGATTCAAAGAGATCGTTCAGTCGAACATGTTGACCAGCGGTGGTAACAGAAGAAAGCTGAACTTAAGACAAACTTCACTTATAACGGCAGACGTGTGACGCAACGGCCTCGATCCCAAGTAATTTGGTCATCAGAAAAGTAAGGAATGTTCATGGAAAAGACACTCGAGATTTCGCGACTCAAATTACGAGAACTGCCAAAATTTAGGGAATAATCATGGCTTTAGTCTGCGAACCACGAGTTCTGTTGATGCGTGATGAACTACACTTTAAATCATGTTTGATTTCACTTCTAGCAAAAAAGAAATTACATCAAAAACTTTAAAAAGGCCTTAATACTTCGTGGAGATATTCAACAATGCGTTTTTGCCAGTGAAGCGGTTGTGAGGTCGACAACGTTAAAATCTATCACGAGTCGATAAGAAATGGAGCTAATTCCTGTTTTTAGTCCAACATTTCACCGAAACTGGGCCTGTTTTGGACAGCACCTATAACCTTATTTTACATTCAAGATTTGCTCTCTGTTCCCACCTTCAACTCGCCAGCTCTAACATACTGTGCCATTTTCTCGAGTTTTATGCTGTGCGTTTTATTTAAAAGTCGACCTTCAAAACTTCTATTCATCAAGCCTCTAATTTCTTCATTAACTTTAATTTTTTTTCAATTATATATTTATTGTCCAATACATGTCTTTTAAAATACTATTCTTTAAATAATTTGCCCGAGGTTGTCCAAAGCTCTTATCAGTACAGACTGTATAAGGTTGAAATATTTCGATTTAACTTACCATATTCTACAATCCATATACATTACCTAAGAACTAATCTTGTATCTACTATTTAGATAACTTAAGACGTACAGCGTACAGTGTATTAATCTCACTAGCTAATTAAATTAAAATGTGTTTTTTTGAAAAATTTTGAATGCTATCTTTACTCTCCCAATAATCTGTATTTCGAGACCAAATTTTTTTGGGTGCTGTATAAAACACAAGAAACATTTTTGAAGTGATAGTCCCGTTGAAGATAAAATCTAGCGGCTATTCATTTAGCAGTGGCTGCTGTGTCTATAGACATCCAAGACTGCTCGCAAGTGAGCGACGTCTCCAGAGACTGGTTATGAGTTTACTGTGAGAATCTATGTCTGTCGTGGTTGAATTTGTAAATATGGATTTCGTCCATTACGGCTTTTGATTTATTAAACATCGATTGTCCTTTGAAGAGAATAACTCTTTTATTAAGAAATTGGATCAAGTTGTAAAGTTGAGAATGATCTCAACTGATCACAGTCTCTTCTGATTGCTTGTCAGGTGGGGCCTGAAAAAAACATACATAGAAACAAATACATTTAATGTCTTAGTACCTGCTCTATTGTACACAGCCCTGCAAACAAGGTGAGGTAAAGGATGACTAACAAACAAACATGCACATCCACCCACCCTGAGTAGAGGTCATAATCATCATATTTCACCTTGGAGTGATATAACCTCTGCAGGACTTAAAAAAATCAGCAGTACAAAAACCTCAGCAGTACTATAACCTCATCAGGACTATACTTTCAGCGGTACTATAACCTCATCAGTACTATAACCTCATCAGTACTATAACCTCAGCAGGACACTAACCATAGCAGGACTATAACTTCGTCAGTACTATAATCTCAGAAGTATATATGAAATGTGAAATACATCCATGTACCTGTGTCTGGTGTGTGTAAATTGACCTTTAACAAGCTAGGTTCTTGTAATCCGTTATCTATAAAGAGTAAAATCATGATTCACTTTCATTAGCTTCATTCATCTGGCTTTGCAGTCTCATAGAGGCATTGATTTACCTTACATGTAACGATATCCATGACGTATTTCACAGCAGTACCTGTAAACGCCTTATAAAACACAGAAATAAATGTTCGTGACAAATTTTTATCATTATTTTTTCGCTTCCATGTTTGCATCATCTAAGGGTAATTTTCCCAACTCATCAAATGGATGACTATTAACTATGAATACCTCAGAGATGACCAAGTTTGACTTCTGACCACTAAACTGAGGTTCGTAACCTCACTGTGTGTCATGTAAATATGTTGTTTCATTTCACCATCAACATGTTTTACTTATGCATGATGATCATGGTGGTTAGGTTAGGTTAGGTAAGGTGAAGTAAGGTAAATGTTAATAATTTCCGTTGTTATAATAACAGGTTTGCCCTCGCCTGAACCCGTGAGGAGCATAAGGAAAACGGATTCTAAGGAAAGAACCTGAGTAGAGCGTCTGAACTGAGAGAAGCCACAAAAGTCACAAAGAGCTGCAACATCTGCCGGCCTGTAGGGACCTTATTACCGTCAGGTTCTGTACTTAGCACAATGGACAGTGACGACAAAGAGAGAAGCTAATATGTTGATTAATAAATCACTAAGACAAATTAAAGTAACCACCCTTCCTTGACACAAACCTTGAAAGAGTTTTCTTAACTGTGTATTCTGTTGAACTAACAGTTCTTCTCGTGTCTTTGCTCTCCTAAGCTCGATCTCTAGAGTTTGGAACTGCTCTTTTAACCCGTTCATGTTTCTCTCCAGAGTAGAACATCTGTCCTGAGATTTCTCCAGTTCACATGTTAACTTTAAACACTTGGATTTTGTTCCGTCTAACTCTTCTTTTAGCATGTAACACTGGTTCTGTAGTACATCCAGCATGTTACCTTGAGTAAAAATGTTTTTCTTGGAATTTTCCAGTTTAACTTGTAGTGCCTGGCACTGTTTCTTCCTCGCCTCTAGTTCACATTCCAGTTGTGTCATCTGTTCTCGGGTTGCATTCAGTTGATTTGTCAGTTGAACGCATCGTTTCTTGGTATTAATAAATTTCACTTTCTGTGTACAATACTTGAGTCTAGCAGTGTTTAGTTCTTGTTGTAAGACACGACAATGCTCCTGAGAGCTCTCTATCTCATTACCCGTGCTTCGCTTTTCTTTTTTGGAGTTTTCTAGCTTTTCTTTCAGCGATTCACATCTTCTTTTCACGACATCAAGCTCGTTTTCCAGCTGATTGCATTGCTGTCGGTAAGCAGTGACCACTTTCTCAATTTCCTGATATTTAGTATTGGACTTGTTAAGTTCCTCTTCAAGAGAGAGGCACTGCGCTTTAGACTGCTCTACTTCCTCTTCCAAAGTATTCACTTTTTTCAATCTTTTGGATGTGCGACGCTTTTGCAGCCTAGCTGTCTGTTCTCTAGAAATAATGTAAGTTTCATCTCGCTGGACAGCAGAGGTCTTTCCAATCAACCTCCACCGACGGGCGAGTCGCAATGCTTCGTAAGCTTTTTCTGTTAGGTCGGGAATAAGTCGTAACACGAGATCAAAGTCGTGTAATCGGTTTCGTATTCCTATAGGGTAAAGTCCTTCGGCACTAGTCGGGCTGAATAACCTCTCGTCGATAACACCAGACGTAAGAAGAAGATGCCATTGATTCAAAAGTTTCTCTAAGTCTCTGGGAACACTTTTAAGATGACAAAGTACTTTTTCATTTTGAAAAAAGTCAGAAAGTGGCTGATAGATGCCTTGTTTGAAACTTTCGAGGAGATTCTCGAAATGAACGCAGAGTTCATCAAACCGTGGAAGCACGTTGGAGTCGCGTAAATTTGATTGACTTTTAGGTACCAACACTCCACGAAGTTGAACATTCCTCTCCCAAGAGGCCAACTCAGACACATATCTGTCAAATGACATCATACACAATCACAGACCAATCAAAAGAAAGAACAAGGAAATCAATAAAGAAATAGGAAAATGAGCGCAATCACACTTATGATATACAAAGTAGTTTTTGAGGAGGTCACAGAAGCTGTCGAAACAAGTATGTGCCAATTTTAATGACGATGCAACTTCCTCTGATTTAAGTATCTCTTCATTTTAGTATAAAATAAAATGAAAAAAATTATGTCAAAGAAAAGCGTAACAAACCCCCTGGAAGTAACACCTCCAAAAGATTTATGATTCCACAACTGCCAACGGCGCGTCACTTGTTTCAGCTTGCGATAGAGCTCCTCAAGAAAATGGTCCTTTTCTCTTTCACGTGACAATTTCTGTATTTGTGTTTCAAAGGCTGAGCACTGTTCTGCTAACCACACTTCACGAGCCGTGTGGGACAACACCTCCAAATCTTCAAACTAAAACAAACACAAATTAAACATTCCTAGGCCCTAAATTGCAATCAACACCACACAGTAGTGGTCGGTAAGACTCCATGTTACGCCATACTAGTATGCTGTACTATCTACAGCATGATAGAAATAATATTCAACAGTATGTTTCTCAATTATTCAACAAGCACACTTCGGATATGAGATAAAACGGGCCGATTTCATCTCATATCCAACAAACGCAAGGGGAAAAATGTTTTGTGATAACCCCCTAAAATATTGATAAATCTTCCCAACTTTACTAAGTAATAAATAGAATAAGAAAGATGGTAAGTTTTGAGCTCGGTAAGAAATAGTGAAAGATATTTTTCGTCTTGTCACGAGCATGGGACGAAGAAAAAATTCTGAGTCCCCATGAGGAATCGAGCCTCGGACCTTCGGATTCCGCGCTCCGATGCTTTACCACTGAGCCACAGAGACTCTACAGTAAGCGAGGTCTATTACGAAGTTCATTTTCATGTTCAGGACAAGACGAAAAATATCTTTCTCTTTAAAACATCTTAAAGTTCACATGGCAACCAGGTGGAGAACGAGACATGGTTTGATGCTACTCTGGTTTAAAGATTTAATGAATGTCACCGCGAAGTTAGTATACGCTCACTTATTAGCTGCATTTTTTCTGACGAGGTTTATATAGGCGTCAGGAAGTAAGCCGCCATCATCATGATTTAAAGGAGCGTGGTAGGAGTTAATATGCCAGGCTTCCAAACAAATTCGCAGGAAACTAGCATATTAACTCCGCCCACGCTCCTTTAAATCGTGATGATGGCGGCTTACTTCCTGACGCCTATTTATACCTCGTCAGAAAAAAGGCAGCTAATTAGTGAGCGTATAAAAGGACCACTTGTTGCAGCGTTTAGATCACCCCTGATGAAGGCACTAGACAGGAGTGTCCAAACGTTGAGTCTATGAATTGTAACTTCTCAGTAACATTCATTAAATCTTTAAACCAGAGTAGCATCAAACCATGTCTGTTATCTTTCACTATTCACTTAGTAATGTTAGTGTGCAAAAACACTTAACTCGTCGTCATGCGCATGCATGCATAGTGTAATGGCTCATAACCCATGATGGCTGAGCCAGTGAAAACTCTGAAATTTAATTTTAATATTGTTCATTATATACTGATGTTGTTGCTAGCTTTTGACTTTTACTAGCCATATTACTAAAAACTAACCATAGACAATCTTTTGAAGTTAAAAATGTAAAATTAAAACAATGTAAATTAAGAAAAGTATTCAAAATGTATGATTTAACAGTGTGAACTCAAATATAAATTGGTAAAAATTGAACATTCTAATGAGGGGTTTCCATGGAGACTCCATATGAACTTCAATAATTGTTGGAACTATAATTATAGGTAATAAGTAAACATGATTTCAAGTGCAATTTGGTGTTAAGAAGCACAAGTAAATTTTTCAAAGACAACAAAATTGCACAAGTCCGTCTTTGAAAAATTTACAAGACTTGTGTTTTTTACCCTAAATTGCAAGAGAAGTCATGGTATTACTTGTTAATAATTTAGATGAAAAAACATCTCAGAGAAGACAAGACATACACAATTTTGAAAGCATGCACATGCTATTTGTAATTTGCACTTGTGGTACAACTTTGCACTCATGTTACAACTTTGCACTCATGTTACAACTTTGCATTCATGTTACAACTTTGCACTCATGTTACAACTTTGCACTTGCGGTGTTACAACTGTGCACTTGCGTTACATGAGAATGCACTTTTTTTCAGCCAGTCAGATGCCTGTACCTTTTTTGTTTTTTATTATCATTCACCTTAATCCTTCCAGGAACTGGTGCATGGTTTATAATTTCATATGTAAATGCTTGAACCTTTTTGAGATCCCAAGATATATTTAAGCCAGCAATCTCAACCTCCCCCCCCCAAAAAAAGAAATAAAACAAAACAAAACAAACAGAAAAACAAAAACCAAACCTTCCCATGAGTGGGCAAATCAAACAACACTACTCTTTGATTAATGCTCTCACACAAATGCCCTTTGCACTTTTTTGCAGGCAAGAAATATATAATTAAAAAAATTTTTCACTTTAAAGTGCACCTTTTTTCCCACAAACATGTTCAGACTGAAAAAAAAATTATTCCAAACAAATCCAATACCACAGTGATTGAATCAATTTGGTCTTTAAGAAACTTGATGGAGAAACTGGAGGTAAATCTGGCTTTTTCCAATATCCAAGAATTTCTTTACACATTTAATTTTTTTTTTAACAACATTGGTTCTAAAGGTGTAGTCCAGAGGAAGGCTTAAAAATATAAATGTTTGGACTAAGTACAAACTTAAAGGCTAAAATCTTTATATTTTTATTGAGGCAGTTTCATCAAGGGACTCTAGTAAAATGTTTTACACAATTTTGTTGTTCAACATAGAAGCTGCCTAATTAACAATAAATCACTTTTTCATCAGTTTACTTGACAAAGCATTGAAAGGAACTAACAAGTTATGCAATATTTTTCCCATTTCCTCCTTTTTCTTTTGTAGCTTTTGTAATTTAAAATGTGAATTTCTATCTTGTATTGAACTAAGACTTTATCATCTTAGTTTATCATTATTATAATTATTAGTGTTGGTATCATTAATATCGTAATATTTTTACTTACATAATAATCTTTCAGCATATTTGAGTTTCAATGACCACTTCTTTGTGGGTTATATTTTAACTTTCTGAAAGTAAATAAAAATATTATTTTCATTATTATTTTATAATCTAGAAGGAGAGCTTTGGGATAGATAAGAATTTCTCAACTTCCCCTCCCTCTATAAAAGAAATCAATTCACCCTAGCCATCCATAGAAGTATGATTATCAAATTTATGTTGTTCTTGTTCACATGCTCACTCTTTAATGTTCCATCTAAACCACTCAGGATTAATTATTTGTCCGATGATAGATTTTATACTGTGGGAAAATTTCAAGACAGAGAAGTTTATATCACTTATCACATTTTGAAGTGTGTCTCTTATACTTCCATAATTTATGACAAACTTTAGCAACATCCACCTGTTGCTTCATTTTGTAACAAAACAAAACCAAATCATTCAAAATTGAACCATTAAAACAATTCAATTTTCTATAATACAGAGCATTTCTTAGTAGCACTAAAGCATTCACTGTCTTTAATTTTAGGACTGAACAGTTTTACTTAACTTAAGGGCAAATTACTGTAGAAATTATAGTTTGAACAAAATTTTCTTCACTTGTCCACACAACACCATTTTCTTTCAAGAAATATTCCTCTATACATATACTCTGTATACCACAAGACTGCAGAACAATTTTAATATTTTCATCCATCCCCTTGAAATAAGAGCTGATGTGGAGTCAGAAACTCAATATGCACTTCCTCTTGTAAATATTCAGTATTAGGTGGAGCTCTGCTTTTTGTTTATCAAAATTGACCCAATTTACTGCATGTTTCAGTCTCTCTCTAAAGGTAGCAAGAGCCTTTAACCCTGCAGTTATCTAAACAAGAGGAAAAATTCATTCTGGAAAGCTGCTTTTTGTATCTCAGTTTCAGGTAGCTACATTCAACAGGTGTCAAAATTTAGGAATGAAGACAACAAAAGAAAACTCTCAAAACTGTAAACTGAAAGAAGGAAACATGCCTCATGATCATTAAATCACTAGGCAGAAATATATTCTAGATTACTGTACCCAAATTGGACCAAATAAAACACACCAAAAATACTGAAAGCATTGCTAGCACCATTTTAAATAAAATGTGTGCACTGAAAATAAAACATGCTCACAGAGGTATCCTGAACTTAAACTTAGATTTATCAAATTTTAAATAAAGTTCTCTCTTTCCTTTTTGCATGCAAAGTAAATCGAACATTTCCTTATCTAAGAAACAAACTTATGTTAAAAACTTTCTGCTTTGATATGTGCTAAGTTATAAAATTATGTTAATCAATATTTTAGGAAAGGCAGTTGATAATTAATACATATGTTGACAACATTTCAAGTATCCTTTACTTAAGTTCTCATTGGTTCTAAAAATAAACAAATTTTACGTGTTAAGTATAAATTTTCTACTCAAACTCTTACTTTGATGAGGGAGACAGAAAATGTATGTTGATGAAATCGGTTCAAGTCTCGTCTCATTGTCCCCTCGTGTTTTATCCAAGCATGTACATTCCAGATTGCACCTGTCAAAAGAAACGTGTCTGGCCTGAGTTTACCCAAAATTGGGAGATCTTATCCACTAAAAGGCTGAAAACTTTTCGGCTATGGCTTCCAGATGTGCTGGATTACGATCCATTATCACATTAAGTGAACCGCAGTGCAATGTGCAAATCACATTTTCACTTTCGTGGCGGAACAAGATAAATTTGACTTTCAGTGGCGCGAAAGTTTTTTCAAGTAACGCAGATAACAAAAGAGATCGAGCCGACAAAGAAAGTAAAAGGAATATTTTGAACAGAAAGTATTATTTAAATGCACTATGTTTCACCAGACTGTCAAAAAAGGGAAAAGATTATTACCCGCAAGAAACATCGACCCCATGGACGATGACAAGGAAAAATTGACGTTAATCTTAGAGATAGGAAAACAGAAAGAAAAGAAGTCCCTGTTAACCTCCTTTCTGGCAAATGCAACAGACTATATAAATACTCTCGATGAATATCTACCGATAGCTTGTACACAACTCACACCACTTCCGCAAATGAAACGCCTTGCAAGACAGCCAACAAATCTTAGTAGATTCAAACTTCACAACTACATAATTCAAAGGTAACTTTTACATTAAATAATACCCGTACGATTTATGTTGTTTGCTCAGGTTTATGTTTAAAGTCGCCAAGAACGAGTTTACAGTCGTCCTGACCGACACACCTTTTACAAGCGTGTACAACAAAGCATTTAGTCAGGGAAAAACCATCTTAAGAAAAATAACGTCTAAACCGACAAACAACAAGCTTCGGGCGAAGAAATTTACACTGCAACTAAATTTCCTATCATGAACTCACCTGAGAGTTCGAGAAAGTCGAGGATATAGTTGTCTTGGTTTGGTTTGTAACATTCATTCATTCGCGACCCATTCATGTCCAGAGCCGGCCGCACTAATGTATTCACACGTATCATGCAACAGGTGGTTGTTTATAATTGCTGACCACGTGGACATCCCATTGAGAGACAATTATTGTTCAAATCCGCTGGATAATTCCCTTCCGTTTGTAATCGTATCACATCTTTGCACAAAACAAACGCTCAAAACGTATCTTTTTGCTGGTGTAAAGTTTCTCGACAAACATATTTGTCAGCACTAAGTCGAGCAACACACGTAAAAACGATCAAAAAGTGGCTTTAACTGGTGCTACGTAGTTTTCCGCGTGCACAAGTACCCGTGCGTTCGTTGCAAGTCACTTTTGTCCAAAGATTGATCGCAAAATTTGAATAAGTACCTCTCATATGAATTCTTTGGCGCCACAAGCATATTGCAAGGCACTGAGTCACGCAGAGTTTACTGGTTAGCAATGCTATGGTATTTCCGACGAGCCCGTAGGATTTCACAAAGGATCGTGGGAACCTGGGTAACACACGAATTCTGATTGGATAAACCTTCTTATTGGAAAATATGACCAATTAGAATTCGTGTTTTATTTCCCCAGGTTTCTGCTTGTTTCTATGCAACGAAAGCTGTAGTGTTAATCGAAATGGCGGCTAATTAAAGTTAAAGATAATATGAGTTGTAATGGAGAAATTTGTCTGTCTTGAGTATATAATGAGTTGGAAAATACGATAGAATTTGAGTCAAGCCATAAGCTATGGAGGGAACTGTGGCAGGAGTACGAATTGTCCCCCCTGTGGTGGAATTTTTCGATGCTGAGTCGGACGTTGTTCACCAGATGACACTGACAGTTCAAAACTTGAGCAAGACATCGAAGAGCCTCCGATTTCACGGGCCTGCGTCAAATGTAAGAGACTGGTCAAATTTTGGATAATAGAGACGAGAGGAAAATTTTTGCAAAAACTAGATATTCATTTTGAGGCAATAATAAAGCGCAATTTTGTGTACGAAATGTAGATTGTGGTACTTTTCAGAACTTGTTTTGTCGTTTTGGTAGCAGCTTACATTTAAGGTTAAATCACATGGTGCATTTCTTTCTGGTCAGTTTTTCCATCCGCGGAAGGTGAGGGGATAGTATTGAAAATAATGGCTCATCTAAATATAGGTTCAAACATAATTCTTATCATCCTTGTAAATAATGACGACGATGAGGGTACAACTGATTTTTGATAATTTTTACGGTTGTCATCATCACCGATATGGAACTGATCGTTCATTATTGTCTCTCTTTTATCATTTAAAAGAGTTTCAGATTAAAAGTAAGGAATCCAGACCATGCCATTGCACCAGGGCTAGAAGTATCAGCTTTGGTTGAATACTACACTACTAAAGGTGAAGATGCACAGGACAGAGTTATACTAGTGGTTGATAATGATGTTGTGGAGATTCCTCTTGTTGCGTGAGTATTTCATCAAGATTAGTATGCACATTTTAATTTGTTAATTTATGGAAAGAAATGACTTTAGGACCACTGATGATGTAGGTGCTATTCTGAGAGTGACAAATTGTATATTTCTTAAAATAAGCACCCACACCCTAATAAGCACCCTTCCCCAAATTAGTGCCCTCTCCTTGTATAAGTGCCCAGCCCTGAGGCCACAATGTCAAACAAGTACCTCCCCTACAAATAAGTGTCCCCTCCTCCCTCACTATTTTAAGTAGTAGGGATGCAAGGAAAACCTGTTTCTATTGCCACATAATTTACAACTATTAAACTTCAAACAGTGCAGATGAATAGTTTCTTTTCCATCCCAATTATTTCTCTCTCCATGTGCTTGCAGAGTTCCTTTTTGTGCAGTGACTGTTCTTTTAATCTTTGTCCTATAGCTCTGCTAACTATATAAGCACCTCCCATCGATCAAGTGCCCTCCTTAAACTAAGCACCCCTTCTTTTTAGCTCATTCGATGGTACATACCAGTGCATCACACTTTTTCTCAAAGTACTTTTTATTTTTTATAACAACTTTATTTAAATAATAACATATATAATATATTATTATTATTCAAAAGGTTTATAGAAGGAAGGAACTTAATCCTCATAATAAACTATGCCCCAGATATAAATATTTAATAGCGGAGCTCACAGAGCATAGCCCCATAATTATACAAAGTAGTAGTAACCCATGAAGCCGAGAAAATTTGGATGTACGACTGTACGACTATACGACCATACGAACGTACAACTGCACAAGGTGCTACTTTTGACATGCGTGGTCAACTGTACCGCAGGCACGCCAACACCATGGCTTTGTTCAGTAGTCCAGTGGTCAGTGCACTGGGCTCCGAGTCAGACGACCTGGGTTCTAGTCCTGGCCGGGACAAGTTGTGTGGGAAAAAAAAAATGCAAGCTCCGCTTTTAGGCTTGGCTAAATCTATATATTACTATGCAATATAAATATACCCACTGAAACATTTTACATACAAGCATATATCTATGTACTAAGTATAAAATCTAAGTAAAGAAGATATATCTAAGATAATAATTCTGTTGAAATGATGAATAATTAAATTATGTATAATATATAGAATGATATAATTTCATACTTATAGGCCTAGTTATTAAGTAATGTTGATTTTAGAGCTTTCTTAAAAGTATTTATCGAGTCAAGTTCAACTACTGATGACAGTAAACTGTTACAATTGTGTCAATATATCTGTGCCAAAAAGAATACTTAAAGATATATGTATGGCGAAATGGTTTATAGAGTTTAAACTGATGACTTTTCCTTGATTGCCTGTGACTAAATGATATGTAATCATTAGTGTTTACAGTAGAGTGTCCTTTATTGAACTTAAAAAGCTGAACCAAACTAATATTACATATTTCAAAGTGTATTTTTTATATTTTGGTGTCACACGTAATTAAGGTTACTGTTTCCCACAGTAGAGACTTGGAACTTTTATGTGAATTTTCATTGTTGCAGTAGGTTGAGTGTGACTTCCTATTGCTGACAGGGTATTAATTTACTATCGATCATAGATATACACCTGGTCCACAGCTGGAACTGAGTGGTCCAGCAGATTTTGGTGTGACAGTAGCTGATGGTAAAGTCTTAATGCGTGAAATTTATATAACAAATGAGGGATCATTGACAGGAGAGTTTAAAATAAGGTACAGTGGCAACCAGCCAATCACAATTATGCCATCAGGTGGCATTATTAAGTCAGGAGCAAGACAGTTTGTCAAGGTGAGTTTAACCATTAAATATAGAGTCACTAAAAGTATTTTGGAACAGGAAAATGGACTTAGCTAAAAGAGTTCAAGGAATAACTGAACAGAGCACTGCCAGATTTGATGTTCAATAGAATTAAATCACAATAATACTTGATTGTGGTCAGGTATCATATGATCATTGTCTTTGTTCTTTTTCTTCTTAGCAGAGAATAGGGCTGCTTTCCCTTCTCTTCAGGATTCCCTCTATTGCACAGATAAAGCTATTTCAGTTGTGGTTCTTAACCTATCTCCTTCAGCTCACTTTAAACCATTTTTAGCTCGATCTTGTTTATACCTAATTATAGTTCATTTTGCTAAGGTTGAATTTATAAGCAAGACTCCAGGGGAGCTAAATGAAGACGCACAGTAAGTGAATACTAACAGCTTTTTTATTGTTTTGCATCAAATGATTATCATTAGTTAGAGACCTTTAAACAAAGTGTAAGGAGCCAACCAAAGAACATATTAACTTATTTCACAACTCATTGCATCAAACCTCTAGTGATCAGTCAAAAATTTGCTTTTACTCTGCAGAGTCAAACTGGAAGGCCAATCTCCAACAACTCTTCAAATCATTGGGAATGTAGTGGAGCGGTCTCTGGAGTTGTTGACTTTGGATACAGAAGAAAAAATTGAAACAATAAACTTTGGCTCAACATATTATGGGACTGACCAGACTCAGTCATTTCTTATTTATAACAATGGGCCAGATGTTGCTAATTTTGTTGTTATATTGGAAGAGGGTGGAGAGGGACAGGAACTGGTATGTGATACCCTTTTGGGAGTGGGGACAGAAAGAACCACTATCCATGAGGGGATGTACAGTTAATAATACACATTATTAAATAGAGAGATAAATATGAAGTACTATCATGAGCTAGAAGTAAAAGATGGATAGCAATGTGAATGCATATACTTTGAAAAACTTCAATTTTTTGGGTGGAGTGGGTGTGAGGAGGAAGTCATTATTAGTGGATATGACATTGGTTGAGTGGACAGCACATGGAGAATTAGGGAAGTTTTTTTCCTTGTATTTGATAAGAGAGGATTGTGAACTTTCAAGAAGTTTTACAGAAAAATTCAATGTTGCTTATATTGGTATACTGTCTGGCATCATTCTACATGTCTGTCTTTCAGGGGGTGGACTTGACCAAGAGTGCTACAGCAATGTTACTTTCTCAAACAAGTGCTCAAGAACTGGGAAATGCTAATGACTTGACAACACTGGTGACTGCCTTACCGAGCCAGGGGATCCTTTATCCACAAGAAAAAAGAGAGATTCACTTCAGATTTAGTCCAAGATACACAAAATCCAGGGAAGGATGGAAGGCTAGTGATCAACCTCCCCCAAGGAAAGATTACACTCTTTTTATGCATATAGAGACTGTTGGCAGTGTTTCTGGAGGTGGTAGTGGCAATGGAGGTGAGAAGAATGAATTAAAAATCATAGGTTTAATATTGCCAGGATTGAAAAGTTTATTGTTAAAAAAAAACTTGTCTTGATTGGCTGTTCACTTGTTTCTTGTATGGCATTTGTTTGGTGTCCTGTTTTTGGTTTTTTTAGCACCTGCAATACATATCATTTTTGCCTATACATATTGATAATTTAATGCACTCTAAATCCTTGGATTAGAATCTCCACTCAAATTAGTGTCATCTCTTTGATTACGTGCCCCTCCCATTTTGGCCAAAATTTGTATCAAGTGCCCCTTCTCCTTTCTCTGTTTATGAGTGATTGCATTTGCCAAAGTTGTTAATTGTCTAATTTTTGTAAACTCCTTCTCATTTTTCATCACAATGATTTTCAGGATCTAGAGTTGAAGTTGCTGTCTTAGGAACAGCTTTGCCTGTGCTGCTCTCTATCTCACCCAGTCCTGTGTTCAAGTTTGGAGAATGTTCAGTTGGTGAACAAGTTGATGCACTGTGCACTGTAAACAATGAATCAGCCAGCTTGCCATTGATATTTTCCCTACACTCAACAGCACACTTCCATTCTTCACCATCACAAGCTCATATTAATCCAGGAAAGTCGTTAGATGTGCTGTTAACTTTCAGGCCCAATCAGATGGGATCATTTAAGCCAGTTGTTCCTCTGGAGGTTTTAGGAGGCACTGTTGAGCAGTTTTCATTTGATGGGGATCCTACTGTAGTGAGGTTAATGGGCTCAATATTTCATAACCTGTAAAGTCAAGGATATATATTTTTGCCAGCTCCTCTATAGTTTTAGAGCAAAGAAATGCAAAATTTACACAGCCATTGCTGTTTTTGTTTCCTTCTTTTTATTTTGTTGGTTTTAAATGTGTGAATAAGATCCCAGTGAACAACAAGACTATTGATTTATGGTTTATGTGCTCGCTTTTGTTTTGTACTTTATGTCTTTAAGTTATTGATTTATTCTTTCAGGCTGGTACCAATATATACCACTCCAATCACTCTTCATGGTACTGGAACCAGGACAACCAATAAACTCAAAACACAACCAGCACCTGGAGTTCCACAGATTGCCCATCCAAATGATCGTGCAACCAGTGTCCGGCCAGCAAAGAGAAATGAAAATGTCAAGTGAGTAACAAAGTGTATCTATACAAAATTACAATTCCTGCATCAAACAACCACATTTGGAGAGGTTAAATTAAGCATACAAATCCTGATTTAAAAATAACTTTGTTTTTCTCCTTACCTGCAGCTAAAATGACTGATCCTTTTATTCCAATATTTTTATTTTGCAATTGTGCAGCTATGTGTAGTTAATAGAACATTTTTTTTACAAAAAGATAGAAGTTGAATGAAAACTTTGTTTTCAAGAACATTATTCACAGGTATTGAGAGGTATACCTATGTAGACCCTGATTATGCCTTCACTGAGGAGGAAGAACAACTCAGATTGCAACATAAGCAACAATATTTGGACTATATTAAATCTTTGAGGAAAAGTAGACGAGCTGACAGTAAGAGAAGGTAAATAAATGGCATTAAATCCAGCATTCTGTTTGACTTTATATCTGACTCCATAAATCAAGAAGGGGAGCTCATCTCACTAGTATGACAGATGTGTACAGATGTGGGACCTGATGTAAAGTAGATACCTGACAGTGTTAAATATCAATGTTAATCAGAAGGGTAATTAGTATCTAGAGAAAAACTTGAGATGATTTCTAGGGAACTTAACATGAACCCCTTCAGTGTTAAATTGACAGTAGTCTGGCTAGTTGGTGTGGACTGATGTTAGGTGCCCAAAGCCAGATCTGACCTTAAAGAAAACCAGATGCCATTTTCTTTAAAAGTGGAGAAAGTGCATATGGTGCAGTTTCACAGAAATTTAGTTTTGTGAATACATACTTGAAAACCTGGAAATCTGCTGCAATTGAATTGTTGTATTTGGGAGTAACAAGTGAAGCTGGTGCTCGGTGTACACACACACATAGAGGTTATATACTGCATCTTATATGGTACAGAATCTACATTAAGAGTGACATGTCTTGTCCTATTATAATTTGCAGTGACTTTCATCAGTTAAATAATGACACTGATTTAGGAATGAAAAGCGTCATAGGATTAAAACCTCCCAAGATCTCAGCAAAAGAGCTTACATCCCCAGTCAAAGGTAAATATTTAATATCTTTCTCTGAATTCTCCCCCAAGAAGCCTTACCAGAGATAGATTCCAAGTAAATAATTTCCTTGAATGAAGTGGTTAAATTACAACCGTCAGGAGGCAGACCAGTCTACTTTTCACAATGAATGAGTTGCCAGTAATTGGATCCTTGTGTTTGCGAACAGATCTCTGGGATTGCCATAGGGCAAACATTGTAACTCACAAGAACAAATTGTACAGTGAAAGGTTGTTCTGACGTCCAAAAAAAACTATTTTAGAGATTATCACTTTTTTGCTGTTGTTTTATCAGAAATGGATATGGGTCATTTTGATATAAGGGAAGCATGAGTTTTTGTTTGAAGAACCATAAAATATGTAATAAAATCTATAGATTAACTTGTCTCCTTAGGCAAAGGTTATTATGAATTTGACATAGCATAATGGTCTCAAAATTTAGAAAAACCAATAATAAATTGCCAAGGAATAACTCAACAAAGCCTTTTCAGTTTTTTTGGAGGTGTTTTAAGTCTATACTTCTAGCTTTTTTGGAAGCTTAAGGAAGTACAAAAGAGCGCCACACAAGTTACCTCAAGGCAGCAGGAGATTGATATGGTGTGCTCAAGCATACATTAAAGTGATAAAACACCAGTCCTACACTGCTTCTTTGATGTGATCAATAAGAACGAATCAGTGTTGATAATTGGCTCAAACTGAAACCTCTCTTCTGTGACGATGAGTGATACAAATTGGTCTCTTAAGGAGTGATGCACAACTGGTGATATGTCTACAGTTTCTGCTAGAGTTCCCATGATCTTGCTTTTCCTGACAAGATCCTTCAAGTGGTTTGAGAAGAAAAATTGCAGTTCAAAGACCGTTGAAACAAACTATCACTTGACATTGTGATTTCCTCATGTTTTTCATAGCTTATTTTATGTTTTCAGAGAGCAACAGCTGGGTAAAAATAATTTAATTTCCATCTCTGCTGACAACGACTTCTCTCCTTTGAGGAGGTACATTTTCAAATGTCGTAATTTGTTTATTATATGTTAACAAGTATCAGAAAACAGTCTGTACTTATATAAATACAACTGAAAGACTTAAATGAGTTATTTCCCAGCTATTTATGGCTAAAATATTTTGAGACCATTACATGATGATGATTTCACAAGGAGAGAAGTTTTACAGTAATTTTATCACATATTTCCTGGTAATTCCAACAAAAACTAACACTTCCCTGGTATTAACATTATCTTTATCCATTTATGATAAAACTGTGGCAAAAAAGCCAAAATCACTTTTTTGGACCTTCAACCAAACTTTTGCCATACGTTCCTTTCTAGCGAGTTACAATGTTTGCCCCATGGCAATTCCAGAAATCTGTGCGCAGACACAAGGATCCAATTACTGGCAACTCATTCATTCAAAGAAAAGAAGTTGAATTTTGAATAACTTGAAACAATTCTAGTGACTATCAGGGCACCCCAATCTTTTCATCTTTCTTAGTTCTTCTCTAGCATTTTTTTCTAAAAACTGACAGTCTGGTAGACCTGATGAAGTGGTCCATGAGCCAGACTATAAATTATTCCATGGATCAGTCTAAGGACTGTGCTGTGGGCTAGCACAGGTTTTTAGAACGCCTGCCAGGAAGTGGATAGGTACTCAAGTTTAAGGATCATTAGTAGTGACTGTTTCTTACATTATTATACAGCTCTTTCTCCAGTTAGTGATGAAGTGAAGTTATTGAGTTCCATGGCACTTGCAGATGAAAAGTCAAAGACCCTTTCAAAAAAAGTGAGGAAATTTACAAATAATCTGTTGTGGTAATTAAGTTATTGAATATTCTTTAAAAGTTGCTTAGAAAAATGATATTGGGGAACCAACAAGAGCTTCAAAATTTGTTGAAGTAGGCATCAGACTCTGCAAAAGCAGATGACTGTGAAAAGTTCATTGTGGGCCAAAAGGTAATTATTTTTACCAAAGTAACTAGCAACATTTTATCAAACTCCAGCAGTTGCCAGCTCATTTTGAAACCCCTGGAATCAATTAAATGTGCTTTTGAAATTAGTTTAATATCTCTTGGTGTCAACATACATGTACATTCACACACTTTATGGTTTTCATGTTTCCCTTGTAGTTGAGTGATGGCTTGAATGCTGTGCCAATGACAGAAAGGGAGAAGCATGACTGCTCCTCAGTACTTTCTCCACAGGAATTAAAACTTGTAGATATTGGTAAGTTGAATGGAATACAACAGAAGTCACTATTTGTGAAATGATAAGTTGAATTAAAAGTACCTTACACTTTTCCTTGTACCAAATGACTCATTCCTACCCTTCTTTTTTCCATAATTTTTTCATATTTTCAGGTCCTTCTCTGATGGACTTTGGACAAGTCTGTCTACGTTCTGCTAGCAGTAAAGATCTTATGATTGTTAACAACTTGAATAGTTTCATTCATGTTGTTGTTGAGGTAAGAAAAGTGTATTCTTTCTTTGCTTGACTTTCTGAATATCTTAAATCCAGCTCAAGATGGTTTGTGGTCTTGGTAAGCTTAACCTTGACTAGATTTTTCAGTATATTCCATTGGGGATCACTTTACTTAGTCAACATGATGGGACCATAACACCATAGACAAAAGCAATATTAAGGTTATCACTTTTGTCTGAATCAAGGATTTCAGAGTTTCTTATGCTTAGATAAAATCTTTTTTTTTTGTAGATTGACTGTCGTGAACTTCGTCAAACATCTCCATTGTCACAAGTAATTCCCCCAAACTCAGTTGCAAAGCTGGCAATGATGTTTGAATCAAATGTAAGGGGTAGGTTTGAAAGGTAAGAGAAATATTTGCTGATATCCAGAAAAAGTTTGAAATCTGTTTTTTTAATCATTTAAAATCTATTTCATTTGTAGGAGCATTAATTATAGCATTAATGGCTATCACCGTCAGCACATTGTTGTCTTGGCAGAAGTTGTTTCAGTAGCTTTGGAACTGTCAGGTGATAAAGTTCTGCTTAGACCCTGTCCAGGCTTATTGGCTGATTCAGGTGGGTGGGGTTTTTTAAACATTATTTTCCTGGATGAAATTGCTCACCATAATTGTAAAATACACATTTTCAAATAGCTGGAGGTACTTTAATTTCAGTGTTTGTGACTTGATTCTTGTGAGTTTTTTTTTCAGGTCTTAGAGGTTCCATCACATTGATAAATAAAAGAAACTACCCAGCTGAATTTTCTTGGTCCCCTGTTGTAAATGAAAGGGGCACAGCATTCTCCATAAGACCATCAATAGGTATACTGTTTTACTTACAGAGCAAATAGAGATTTACCTTTTAGCTATAACAGTGTTTTCCATTTCTTTCTTTATAGTTACGGAATAATACAATTTGTTTCAGAAGCATCATACTACAGTCTTCTCTGTTTTAAGAAGGCAAATCCTATGTTTGCCATGTACAGGTGCCTAAATTCCTTGTGCAAGAAGACTATGTTGTATATGTGAGATCTCTTTGCCTAATGCTGATGTTGCTTTGTTGAGCTTCAACAGAGAAAAAATATATTAAGGAAACTGTGATATGAAAAATTTATGAATTGTAAGAATTGAACTAAAAAGCATAAATCACACAGTTGAAACAATATTATCAAAAAATACTCAGTGAAGAGTCACACAAATGAATAATTTGATTTAAAAAATATGTTTTTTAGGCACTGTTGATGCATTTACTAGCCTGGAATGTGAGGTTGTCTATCAACCAACATTTTCTGCTCCTGAGGAAACAGATTTCCTCGTTCATGTGACTGGAGGAAGTGATTTGAAGCTGACCTGTGTAGCTAAGGTAATTGCACATTGATGTACACATACGGAATGCCAGTTGATATCACTAATTTGCTGCTTCTGTTCATGTTCCACCAGAATAGTGCTTAAAGTGCATTTTAATTGTGCAGGTCTAGATTTGCTACCAGTATACTCCCAATTGTTTGGAAGGGGGCAGTGGTGATTAGTTTAGATCAGCTAAATCCAAATGTTGTTTATGTTGTAGCTTAGCTCTACTCACTGCACATTTGTGGAAAGAAGGCTTTTGTTTGGCTCAGTGCCACTTCATTTAACAACAGTGAAGTCTGTGTCACTTCAAAACACAAGTCAGAACCATGCTTACTTTGAGGTTTGTCAGTTCTCTTTAAACATCTAATACTTTAGATATATAAGGCAGTTGAAAAGGCACATATGGAATAACATACTTGAAGATGTATCAGGGCTTTTAGGAGAGCAACAATGAAAGTGAGCAATTTTTTTTCTAAAAGTTTGATTAGATACTAATCTAGCTGCAAGTTGTTGAGTTTGAGTGTATTGAAGTAATGTGTATGTATGACAGATTGTTTTGTTGCAGATGGTTAACTCTAAATTTTATTTACTATAAATTAGGTGATTGACACTTGTCCTATCCCAGGCATGATTATCTCCCCAAAGGAAGGAGTTGTTCCAGTTGGGGGAACAGCAGAACTCCAGGTAATTTCCATGCCATTTCTTTTTGTGTAATCTCAGTGTATGGTTACTGGTCCCTCTCAATTAGGTTCAAAACGGTTTTAAGAAATAATTTGGACATGACCAGTTTATTTAATCAGTTTTCTATCAGGAATTATGGAGACAGATGTATTTTGTGTGAAGAAAGTTCAAATTAAAGGAAAAACTCTATACATTGCCTCAATTGGTTCATTAGCTTTTAATTTACAACACCTACATGCATCTTTTTAATCCTCAGGTGGAGTTTACCCCTAATAGTATCCACAAGTTTGATACTCACATTCAGGTGAATGTGCGAGGCTGGAAGACCATCTCACTTAGGGTGGGAGGCACCATAGAACCTCCTTGTGTGGACATCGATGTGGTAAGTTCACAGAACTGTTGTTAATATGCTGGTGATCTTTCCATATTACTCTCTCTCTTGTTTTTGTTGTTATGGCATCACAATTTACACCTGAGTCATCTTACTCCTGACTAGTATAGACAAAACTGATTGAAATTCCAAAGACTGATTTCTTTAAATTGAGTCATTGACTGCATGGTTCACATGATTCTTCATACTTTGTTCAAAGTGCTCATGGATTACTTTGTTTTGCAGAATTTATTTCAGTTTGGTGGAGTCCACTGTGGTGCATTGGCAACTATTAAATTTCTCTTGACCAACAAGGTATATTGAACAAAATATTTTTGCTACAACTTAAGTCACATATCAATGTGGTAATGACAGTTTTTAATGTTTAGACTCGCACTCAAGCCAACATGGTATTTGACCTGAGCAGATACCTGGACTTTTCACTCAAGTTTCTGGACAATGATATTGAGGGTATGTATCTACCTTCCATACAATTAGTAGCTCTGACTTGCATGAAATTCATTAGACCAGATTTTTTGTTTGTTCTGTTGTTTTCACCAGATAATCAGTCTGTCTGACTTGCCGTCTCTAACATTCAGCAGAATTTTTATTTGTTTTTGTCTTTTAATTTCACAGATGATCCAGTGGATGATGGCAATGGTGTTTACTATGTCTCATTAAAAAGTCAAAAAGTCTTGGAATGTGCTCTAGAATTCCAACCTTCGGAGGTACATAGTTACTTATGTAATGTTTTGAATGAAAGGATTTTTCTGCCATCACATATTTTTTTCACAACTCTGCATATTAATTATAATTAATATTTAAGTTGATAAAGATTGTTATCGTTTTTTCAGGTTGCATCTTATGATTTTATTATCCCTGTCAGCATCAATCACACTGTAGCTCCCACCCCAGCACCTTCAACCTTTCCCCCAACACCTGCTCCCTCACACATGAACTGGACCATATCTGAGCTCATAACCCCAGTACCATCCCTAGCTGGCGTGGCCACTCCCAGTCGACGCATAGTGGCAACAGCTCTGCGTCCCCCACTACAGATTTCACACTCTGTTTTGGAGTTCCATCTTCCATCTGGTTACTTTGAACTTGGCATTGAATCTGGGGCAGGACGTGCTCAGGTGAGTTGTGGATTGGACAACATAAAACTAGAGTTTTATTATTGGGCTTACTAATATGTAATTAATGATTAACTGATAATCTTTTTACTGATGATGATGATTACAATAACGGTGATCAGTCAGATATATTTTCATATTCAGCAATAGGTATTTTGTCTTTTCTTGTCAAAGTGTTAATGAACAATGTGTTTCTGATTATCAGGGCTGTTTGTTTGTAAACAACAGTGACAAACCCCTGTCTTGGACTTTACACACTAAAGCTGCAGGACCCTTATTGGAGGATGGAATCTTTAAATTTCTTCATAGAACAGGGTCACCGTTTACACCATCCTCAGCAGGGAAGAAAAGTGTTATTCCTGATATTACCTTGGAAAGTGGAGAGACATTTCAGTTGGGAGTTCTGTTCACTCCACGTAAGCAAGCCTTGTGGTGCTTTTTCATAAGTTAAGATCAGTTATGATGCTGTTGTTGTCATCTCTGACCAATAGCTAACTAAGAAACATTTTAAGCCACCATTAGGCCATTGGGACAAAAGTCTACATGTATCAATATTACCATAGGGCATACTCTTTCCCCTCGGATGATAACTCTTATGTTGATAAACGCTTTAGTTCTCACTTTGACTTTCACTTCCTTTTAGAAATGTGAAGTTTAATATTCAAGTATGCTCATGCTAAAGAAAGTGACAAATATTTCAGGCCAAAATTGTATTTGAAAAATATGATGGAAACATTTAGCTGTTGAGGAAGTGTCTCCTAGTGATGGGAATAAAAAAAAAAAAAAAAAAAAAGCTCTCTGAGATTACTAAGAGATGTCATCCTTGATGTAAGCTTCTGTTTAATCTCCACAGAAAGCCCAGGGTTATTTGTGGCACATGTTCCCGTAATATTAAATGGCAATAGAGAAATGCCGTATCGGACATTGACCCTCAGAGGAGAACTGCTGGCTCCAAGCCTCACTTTTGATCCTGACAGTATTCGGCTAATGCCTGTTCCTCTTTGTACCAAAGTGTCAGTGAACTTCAACATTACTGCAAGGGGATACAGAAGGTATAGTACACACAGGATTATTATTCAATTTGTTTTCTTTTCCTACAGTTATAGCTTCTTTCTTATTGTTTCTTCTACTTACTGTTGCAATTTTTCAGCTAAGGGGGCTACCAGTTTATAAGTTTGCTTGTCGTCAAGTCTTATTGAAGGTCGTAAAGATTATCTTCATTTTTGTTCCTTAGACCATTGTTTTTGTGTTAATTTGGCTATGTATTATTGGTTACCTATTTCCATCAGAAGCATGTAACCTACTTCTAGATTATATGCTCCTGATTTCAGGTAATTCTACTTTTGTCATTTCAGAGCTTCAGTGTTAGACTGTGAAATCCCACAAGTAGAATTAGAGGATGGCAGCTTGCAATCGGTGCTGGAAATAACATTTCCTGGTGGACAGTCAATTCAGCCCTGTTGTACTAACGATGACAACACACAACCTTGCGTGATTCCTTGTACTGTAACATTCCAGTCCCCCAGCCCTGTTACTTGCAACACAGCTATCGTCTTCACAGATGGAAAGGAAAAGTATGACAATAAATTGAAGGAGCTTACCTTGGGTCCTTAGCTTGCTAAGCAATACTCAATTTCTATGTAATCCATATCTGATTAACCTGACCTTAAGCACAACAAAGTGCAATAGCATTTTTTTTACCTGTGACAACCATACTTGATTCTCGTCTCACATTCGTTTGTACTGACGTAAAGTATTTTCATCTATGTCTTCTGCATTTTAGGTATGAGCTGCCTGTGACTGCCACTGCTGATAACTGTTTGTTCTCCTGTTATCCCTTCCTGGCTGCTCATCAAACTGATTTTCATATCGTCTGTGAACAAAAGGCAATATCCATTAAAAATAAACAAACAGACACCCAAGACTTCCCACCTGGGGAACCTGTGTTCATGCCGTGCATAACCCCCAACCGTCCCCCCACAGTAGCCTCAACAAGTGCAACAAGCACTAGCTTTGGTATTAGCACGTCAACATATCCCGAGTCAAGTAATGAAGCCACGTCATCAACCTACCCGTCAACGCCACATCACGGGGAATCCCAACCAGGGGGCCCTGTTCGGGGGCCGTCTGACGGGTCTGAAACAAATGGGACCTTTGTCTTGGGGCCTGGAGTTGAGAGTGATGAGAGAAAGTTCATGAGGAAAGTTGTTGGTGCAGTGCAGAGGTGAGCGAAATTATAACCGCATAAAGTGCTTTTACCGTTTTTGCGTCTGCGTCATCATAGCACAACTTGATTAGTTTCTCTCTCGCATATATTTTCCAGATACTTCTCTGGACAGGGCTGGTCTGGTGGGCCCTACCCAATATCGATACCTCAGACTCTGCGATCGGCCCTCCAGGACACAAGTGATCCTCAAGTTGGTGGCACTGGGGCTGCAAGGACTTCAAACTGGGATAATAATTCCAAAATAGAGCTGAGATCAGCATTTGATCTGATCAGTCATATGTGTGGTCGTCCTGTCCCAGGAATACCATTGGCATCTACTCTTCCAACTTGTCCAATTGATCGTGTGCGACAGGTTCACTGGATGTACAGCACACTTCTTACGTTTTTGAGGTACTCTTGTCATCAATTTCTTTGTTAAGTGTTTTGTGGGAAACGAAACAGGGAGAATTTTTTTTGGAACCTCCTACAATGTACATTTGTTTTTATTCAGTCAAATCCGTTTGCTAATTGTGCAACTGTTTCTTTGCATGAAAGATATTATAAAATGTTTCTTGGTGTACTTACTACTTGTTCTGTGCAATGCACACTTGTCACTCGGGAGTTATCACAATTAAATGTATACTGATGATAATTTCTTTACCAATTGTGTGTCTGACTGTCATGCAGGACTCAGGGTGCAATGGTGTCTCATGTTAAACCAGAAGACTTGTTAGATACCGCTGACTATATCCGCTGGCACAAAATCCATGGAAAACTCAAAGGAATGGATAAAGAAGATTCCAGCAAGGAAAGAGGGATAAGCAAGTTGGAAGTAGCACAGTTTGAGACTAGCTCTACCCAGGCATGGACTCATATCCTGCTACAACTCGTTAAGGTAATATTTGATAACCTTTTTTACTTGCAACTTCTTTATTAAGAGTTTTTAGTTGAATTATTTCCTGAATTTTCACTTACCCTCTCATATTTCACTTTAGGTTTTAATACTGAGCCGTATCACCCCGCATCAGTTCAAGAAGCTTCAGTTTCCAAACAAGAATATTCCACTGCCTGAAGTGAATCCCGATCCACTGACTAGCAATGTTTATAGTGTGGGAGAGCGGATCTTGTTAGCGTGGATCAACCATCATTATAATGTCCAGAGAAACATCAGTTGGCCTGCTGCTATTGGTGGTGAGTCCTGCTCGGTCAGACACTCTGCTGTTGACTGTTATTACGGTCTTTACCTGATAATGTTATCTAAATGCCAGAGGGTGGTGTTTTTTAAACCCCAAACCTAAACCTAAATTTGTTTTGATGGATGAGTAACGTTTCGTAATTATTTCTCAGACCACCTTTGGTGTGAGTGTTATTTATCACCTCTCATTAGAATTTCCTCTACCCCTGCAGGATCCAGTCCTCCGTGCCGGTGGATTGTGAACTTCGATGTCGATTTCATGGATGGACTGGTTTTGGCAACTCTTGTGAGCGCTCATGTGCCGTTTGCGGTAAGATGTCGTTCATGTACCATGTGCTTTTATCTCTACGAGTGATTTTGTTTTATTCTCAACACTTAATAACATTTATTACCAGTTGTGAGAACATAACAGCAGCGACGAGCCTTGATCATGGCTTATGCATGTTGGTGAATGGGAGGGTACTTATGTCTCTGAGCTAATGACTTATTATGTTCGCAGATTTCAACCCATCTTCATTCCATGTACACTCGGCCCAGCAAGGCTGAACAGTGCCTGCATAATGTGATCAAGGCTGTTGAGGCTCTCAGGCACGTTGGTTTGGACTATGATATTCAGGTTAGAAATTAATGACTTCAGAAGTTATCGTATTCCACATTGCAAAACCTTCATTACCAAACAGAGCGCGGGATTGATTATTTTACAATTTCTATCTTACGTCTTTTTCTCTGTCCAAACTTGACACCATAAAAGCTTTCAGAGCTTCTTTTAACTAGTTTTGATAGGATGTGTTCTTGTCGTTAATCAATCAACTTTTCATTCACCACGTATATTGTAAACTTGCGATGTGTATCCTGTCAATAACATAACCATTGGTTGACTGGTTTGTTGGTTATTTTTGCTGTTATTGCAGCCAACAGACCTAACGGAGCCGAACCCTATCGCAGTTGTCCTGCTGTGCATTCATCTGTACCAGCGCTTACCTCATTACTTGCCACGCGCCACGGTCACCTTTGAAGGATCACTGCATAATACAGTAACAAAACATGTAAGGCTTTGTGTTTGTTTATTCTAGCCCTGTAAATAAACCTCGCTTTCTTTAGGCTGCCATTAGAGAGGCTTAACCAGTCGTTTTCTTACAATAGGTTCGACTTCAAAATCCTAGCACCAAACCCCTCGTGTATCAAGCTCTTTTGGCGGGGAAGGACGCGGCGGACTTTTGGTTACCAATGGGAGACACAATTCAGGTGAGTGATGATAACATTAACGATAATGTCAGGCAATTTTATTTAGTGAGGTAATTTAAAGTGATTGTATATTCTACGTTAGGTGTCACCTAAAGGCCAGCTACAGATGCCAGTTGAGTTCAAGAGCCGTTTTCTCAGACCGTGTAATGCAACTCTGGTTCTAGTTGGAAAACGTGAAGGAAGTCCATGTGGTAATACATTGGTGTTTACTTTGAACACCTGTATCAACAACATTTTGCCTGTGGTAAGGACATTTCATATCTGACTGCCTAATACTGAGTAGTTCACATTGTGATTTTTGGCAAACAGTTTGTGATATATAGGGTTAAACTATATTTTGTATGGTATAATCTTCCGAATGAGGATATTCATGAAATGAACTGTTGTCCAGACTATTACTGGCCCCATACAAATGACTTCTACAAGACATGAACCCAGCAAAGGAACCAAACAGAACAATCTAACCTTACTAACTGATTGAAAGTGACCAATCACGACTGACTTACGTTACTTGATTTTTACAGCCAGCTACTTAACGGCCAATAACTAATGAATCAGTTTACACGAACCAGACTCACAGGAGTCAACAGACAAACAACTCCTCACCATTACTAACAACTCCACTTTTCTGAAACACTTTCATCCGGATGATCATACTACACTATCATCTTTCACTCTTAAGTTGAAAACCTTCACCGCGTTATTATTATTATTGTTATTATTATTATTATTGTTAGCCGTTATTACTATTATTAGTAGTATTACTCATTATAACATTTCTTTTGAAGGCGACAATCACAAGTGAGTCACCATGTTACCAAATTCAGAAGGTAAACTTTGACATCACCAACCCATTTCCGTCGACCGGAGAGTTTCGTATTGTACTGGTAGAAGCTCGGAATTCGTTCCTAGGAACATCACCGCCCAAAGTGAAGGCCTCAAAATCCAGCAAGAGTTTAAAGAAGGTTGGGTCAAGGACTGATCACGGGTATGTAATGGTTTAGACGTTGTTTCTTTTATTTGTGGGAATGAATATCTACTACATTCGATTGTGTCGTTACACAAACAAACTGACACTGTTGTGTTGACTGTGGATATATGAAAATCATATACGTGAACTGCGGATTAAGAAATGAATTTGAAAGCGATCTTAGTAGTAATGAACACTGCTTAAGCGGTAATGAAAATAAGGCCTAAAAAAAATTCAGGCCTGTAAGTGATATGAAACCATAACCTTTACGATACCGGTGTAGTGCTCTACCAACTGAGCTACTTGGGAGTTGGTCGTTAAGTTGATTTGTAGTAAACCCGTGAAGTGATAGATAGATGACTACTGCTCAAGTAGTGTTCATTACTGTCAAGATGGCTTTCATATTCAGTAGTTTTTTATTCACAGGCAAATGAACAAATCACCAAGAAGAGAATTTGCTCCCAAAATAGAACAACATAAGATGGAGACAGTCACAGGTCAGTCTCTCGACTCTACTCTACTAGTTTTAAAAAGATCGCCATGGCATATCCTGGCTAAGCTGGGTGTGGACCTGTCTTCAACTTGCTGGGGTCTTAATTTACATGGCCAGGGATCTTGATCATGAGTCAATGGCGGACGTCTCCTAATAGGCCGTTGTTGGATACGGGAGAGAACGACAGGGTTAATATTGAAAGAAGGGATTCCATCTTGATCTATGCACAAAAAGAGGATCCTTACTAGAACCATATCGAAAAAAATCTGCTTATACCTTAGCTTTCTGGTTTCAGTAACACCTCTTACTATGTGGTTCACTTAATATACGACAGTTCTTTTTAAAGTCGGTGGTTTGCTTTTTTATCATTTTTTGAACCACCCGTGGTGTGCAATGTTGTTCAGTTGTTTCGTGTATCACTCTAACCGTTTTTTGTTGTATTCAACAGCTCCTTCATCACCTCCTACACTAAGTGCTTTTTGGTCACCCATCAAAAACATTTACCTTGAGGCTAACAGCAGCGCCACAGCAGAAATTCACTTCTTACCTTTTGATGTTGGCTTCAGGCAGTGCTCAATCCTCTTTATTAATGAGAAGATTGGCGAGTTTCTCTACTGCATTGAGGCGACTGCCACCCCTCCACTGCCTTCCCCCATGCCAGTGGTCGCCTCCCCGCACAGTGTCCGGATCAGCAGCGCTGCAGCAGCTAGGGCTGGTAGGGGGGCATTCGGTGGGGACGAGAGGGTGGTGTACTGGAAATGTGATAATGACGAGTCTTTTACAGAGGACTTGTACATTCCACTTGTTAATGAGGCGAGAGAAAATGCTTTAGGTGAGTTATCAGGATTTAATCACATTAACTTATATTTAGACTATTTCTTGTCTGTTGTAAGTTTGTTGGAATTAGAGTTGTCGTTTATTTTTTGAACCTCAGCAATTACCGCTCAGCAGCGCATGTCAGAACGGGAGTTCCAGCGCCGAATGATGACAGGTACCTTGACCAGCTGTTCTGTCACCGCAAGTGTGGCTGCGCTGGGCCTGGGAGGCTTCAAATTCATGCATCCTGGGGATCCTAAAATGAAGAGAGCGCTTGAAAGAGAGGTCACTGAGTTCCACACAGAGGTGAGCTCCAAGTATTTCCAGGCTCCCTCCAAGGTTATCATACCGGCGAGTATCGACAAAAAGAGTGGTAAGTTATTAAACTGTGCGACTTCTTCTTAGTTTGGCTTCTTTTTTATTGGACTTTATCTCAACAATCAAAACTGCAAAATAGAGTTTATTTTTCAGTTTTGATTGTTGAAAATTTTTGCACTTGATGTGCTGCTCTAGTTTGTATAGACTGTTTTAACGTTAGTAGTTGCTTTTAAAAAATTTTCCTTTTGAAAATAAGGAGTTCTACAGAACTTTGTTTATTGAGTTACACGGTTAATCTCACTTCAGTTCAGTTAACTTCTGCAACATCTGTGTCCGGACCCTTGAGGAATACAGTCCCATTGCCAGTGACTTTCCAACCCAGTGGACCTGGGCACTACCCTTGTCGAATTGTTCTTAAATCAGCGCATGATATGAGAGTATATCAGCTGGAATGTACAGTGACTTCCGCGGGCTCAGCTCTTGAGTTGGAGTTCACATCACCAACACATCAATCAGTTACTCAGGACATACCTGTGGTGAGTGTCGCTGTCACTAAACTGTGAAGAAACAGCAGGATGCTGGATCACAGATAGTTATTGGCAGAGGCCAATTTTTCGTGTGGAACAAAGAAATTAGGAGAGATCTGTATCCAGGGTTTGCGTTCAGACAAAAATCTCTCTCAGATTAAACTGAGAGTAATTGGTACCGGCCATTCTTGGTTAGGGTTAGGGTTTAAAATGTCGATAATGTAGAGAATAGACGAACTTGATATTATGATATACAGAAGTAAGAAATGAAAAATCTGAGTCTTTTGTGACTAAGTCGATGGGTGAACAATAATAATAATACTTAACGATTGGTTTACTAGAATTTTTCTTCTCACTGCTCTTCCGGTAAAAATTCAAATTTTGTTCTAGAGGAGGTCTGATTGGAAGCTTGGAGCACTATTTAATTGATTCATAAGAAATGATAACAAGCCTTAATAATTACTGCGGTTCTTTTCACTACAGCGTCAATAAGTTAACTTGAATTTGAATTTACAGGTGAACCAAAGTAATCAGGACTGGCAGTTGGCAGCAAGCCTGGAGGGAGAGGGGTTCTATGGACCCCCTTTCATGGTAGCAAAATCTCGGCTCACCACCAACTACCCCTTGATGTTTAAACCCTGTTACGAAGGCCATGTGGAGGTAAGCAGTAATACATAAAGTTCTACAGCGCTAAGAACTGTGACGTGAATGTATCTATAATATCTTTGAAACTATTTACGGTGGCCAATTTGCCTTGTCAACTCGATTGATAAACCAAAGTATCTTGTTATACTCCCCCACCGACGCAGCACCACTGTTTCTTCAGAAACTTACCCTCTTTATTCATTTTTCTTTAAACATTTGTTGTCTCATAGGGAAAGCTTGTGTTGACGAACACTTTAGACGGCGCAGAGCAGGTCTACAGGCTACTGGGAACAGGGCAAAAGCCGCATCCACTGGATCACATCTTGATAGAGTGTCCTGCTAAACAAAGGTGAGTATTCTTTGTATTAACTGGAGTGTATATTTTTAGTTCTGTCATTCGCTCAAAAGCTCTTGTTATCAATCGATGGAATTAGATTCAAACTAAAACCTTTATAGGCTATTTGTATTCTTTTTTTGTGATTGTCGCTGGCTGTGTGTTTTTCCTTGTTAATTACTTGTCTGTTCACATCCTTATTCAATTTTTCCTCTCTCTTCTTATTTGTTCGCCCCATTTAACCATCAATCTGACCCTGAAATTCCAGAAAATCACTTGATATTTTTACTTGTCTTTTTACTTTAGTGCAACCTATAGCTTGCAAGTGCCAAATGTGACGAAAAATAAACTTATATTCCAGGTAAGCAGATATTTGATTGAACGTCAGTCTGTAGCGAGTTCTCAGCCTTTAGACGGAAACTTCAATAATTTGTTTACGTATTTTCAGGTCAAGACTGACCTAGATATTGTTAGCGGCCCATCAGCAGTTACGGTCCTTCCAAGCAAGACCGCAGAACACGTGATCACTGTCTCACCTTGGAAACGAGGCACATTCAAGGGAATCGTTTCCTTTATATCATCCGGAAAGTATTCTGGCAGCCTTGATACTGCAAGGTGATGACGAAGGAATCGATAGATCTTTCTAGTCATTTATCCGAGACGAGTAATTAAGTTCTAAGCCTCGCTTTATTATGGATGTTTTATTCTATGGATGCTTCATTCTGATCGCAATGCAACTACCGTATGTTTTTTTGTTGTTTTTAGAGTTGAAGATGACGAGAAACAGGACGGCTTTATGGATTACAGGAAGGCTCCTAACGATGACGTTGAGGAACTCTTATCACAGGAGCTTATGGATGATCCTAAACTTCGACCCTACCGCTTGTGGTACACTGTAGAAGTTCAAGCCTCGAGACCGCAGCCTGAGAGAACCCTAGAAGTGACATGCGCAGCACATTCAGCAGTTGCAGTTGAAATAGCAGTAACTAACCCAACCCGAGATAGAATTGTTATGGACGTACTTATTGACGGCGTGGCTTTGTCTGGTGAGCCCACAATCGTCTTGCACTCCCTACAGCAAGTCAGATATCAAGTGACGTTTGCCCCAACTGTGATTGGTGAATATACAGGCAGGTAAGGAAGTATCTCTCACTTTCACTTGTTTGATAGAGCGTACGTATAATACTTACCACATAATATACTTTGGTTTTGTTTCTGTCTTCAGTGTAATCTTCCAACATGAAGCAGTAGGAGAGTTTTGGTACAATCTTATGCTCAAGGCAACCACTCCTCATCCTTCACATCTTCCCCCAATTCATTGCGAGATTGGCAAGTGAGTTACAAACTTTCTAGCTGGAATAACTATCAAGTAAACTACTCTTCTTGTGTTGTTGTAATAGCCGAGGTTACGGCTACTTTTTTGGTCAAATTACTTCTTCAGGTCGTGTCACCTCTTTAGAATATACTGTGCGATGCTTATCACAATTTTTCACATCGTTTTACTCTCACAAAGTTTTTTAACGCTTATCACCAAAAATCCTGATTGTCATACGCCAACGTTATAAAGTGACTAATGATTGATTTATTTCAGGTCCACTTATCAGATGATTCGCCTCCTCAATCCAACAGACGAGTCTCTTGTCCTCACACCTCACAGCTCAAACACAGCTAACTTCAATCTGGAACTGGGTGACACAAAACAGATCTTATTGGCCGCAAGTGGTTTGCTTGAAGTACCAGTCAAATTTACACCATCGGCTATCGGACAACTGCACTCCGCGGAGATTTCCTTTCACTGTCCTCAGGTGATTCATTTCTTGAAGATATTTTAGCGATTTGTGGTAACTCAAGCTTCAGGAAAGGATAATAATAATTTCACAGATAATACTTTCACAGCTGGAATTATTTGTGCTATTTTTCAGCTTGGCAGTTGGATTTTTCTGGCCTCTGGTACTGGAATGATGCCAGGACCTGTGGATCCAGTCAACATCTACTCACAACTTGGAGGCAATTCGTCTGTTATTATTCCGTTCGAAAACCCTACGGAACGTCAAGTCATCGTAGACGTTGTAATGAAGGAGCAGCTACCATCACGGAGTGGTAAGTTCAGTCTGTAAACAGAACTTCTGTCCGATTCTGATTAATATCAGAAGTCCCCTAAATTTTCCTCGGCCATGTGAGGCATAGCAGTAATCCTCATCATAATTTGACTTCAGATCCAGCCCTCCCTGGGTTTAAAATTCAGTTTTGCAAGGAATGTGTCTCATTATGACTACCATTATTACCATAACTGTTGTTATGATTATATATTTTTTTATTATCACTATTGTTTGTCCATATTTTTCACTATATTACATGATGTGTTGCATGTTGTCGTAGTAATGCACTTTTCCGTACCAACCCTTTTCCAAACCCTAACCCTATTTCTTGTGTTTAGGCTCGTTGTTCACAAGCCTGCGTAGCGACACTCAGCCCAAAGACTCAGTATTCTGTCTCCTGCTCAAACGAGCTAAAGGGATAATTCTAGAACCAGGGGCTACCCTGGATATACCAATCTCCTTTGCACCAGACACCATGCAGCTACACGAGGCTACAATAACTGTGACCATGCACAGAGACACTGAGGACACTTGGAATGGGAACTATCCAAGCGTGATGAGCACGCGTATGGTGAATGAACTTCACTGGATAATTCCTGTCCGAGGTATCCCAGAATCATATCCTATCAAGGAATCCCAGGCCCCGTGTATTGAGTGTAAGGCTCGGAGCCGAGTGGAAGAGAGACTGGAAGTAACGCTTACCGGATTGGCCCCTAATAACGCCACTTCAGGTTTAGGGCGTTACCCTACCATCACTCCCATCAATTTGCTAGGGCGCCACCTACCTGGAGAAATGGAATATGGAGTGGACTACTTGAATGTGCCTGAGGAATTCAGGTGATTACACTAATAATTATGGGTAGTCTTTTCTTCTTTGTGGGAATTTTGCAGTTTTCAAAAGACCTTAGCAAACTGGCAAAATGCGACATTTCTAGCTGATGGTTTCAAAGGTTTTTTTCCCAAGATAATGAGGCATTGAAAAGCGACGACTATGAGAGTATTTTTCCTGTTAGAGCGTTGAACTCGTTTTAGTTTAAGACGATGATTAGCCTAGATGAGCGAATTCGAAACTTATGATCGGAATGTCATATTACAGATCACCCAAATTGTTATCTCTTTTCAACGATTCCTAAATAGCTCTGCTTCCTTCTTTCCCTTCAGTCCTTTGTAAGAAAGTTGGTCGCTCTTTCTCTATAAACGCCAGCTGACTCAGTGCGTAATGTATCTTTTTTATTGTTTTACTGGAGCTAGTCACCATAAAGGCATTCCATTCTGTAGTCGTGTGTTTCTAATGCATAAAAGTCATTCGGTAGTTTGACATGTGGTTCTCGCGGATATTTGGCGAGTTCCGTCGGAGCGAGGAAAATAACCAGCATTGAGTCCAAAGAGACCCCTGGAAGGCCCATGTAGGTGAAATAAAAGATCTTTTGTATGACGTGGTAAAGTTTTATGTTTAATTGTTAAAAGAAATCCTTCTAAAACACCTGTAGGTATGAACTAATTTATGATGATGCAGAATGTCAGACATGTCTTGAACGATCGCTGGGCGTGAGTCTCATGAGGAAGATCAAGAATCAAGTGTCAGGAGTGGTCATTCTTGTGTTTAACTTTGTATTCTCACCATTTAAGCCATTCAGGTAAGTAGGTGATGAATGTAAACAGAATCAGTAAATCAAATGCACGTTGACAAAGAGCAGCGACCTGCCGACCACACACCAAGCTATACCGTGTAGGGATTGTCTGAACTTTGCCCCCTAGTAGTTTCCACTTACCGCCTTCCTCCTCCACACACTTTGATTTTTTTACCGAAATATTCAGATATTCAAAGCCTGTTTTTTCAAGGAAAAGTTCGAACTTCTGACTTTATCTTAAATTACATGGGTTTTTTAGATATAAGAGGCGGTCGTTATGACCGTGATTGTGATGTAGAGTAACTAACATCCCTTGCTAGTGTGTTGTGGCTGTTTTTGTCTTCAGCCACAAGACTCAGTTAATGATATCAGCAGCTTCCGGTGGGGTTTGGAGATTTCCTCTGAGGGTACTTGCCACTGAACCGGTAGTCGACGATACGATTACTATCGACTCTGTTGGACTGAACAAGGAGTCAGTTGTGGGTTTCAGAATGACGAGTCAAATGAGGTAGGTTGATTGAGCAGAGAGGGATTTGCTAAACTGCATCAGAAGAGAAAATTGGTCAAGTTTGAACAATTCACTTAGAAGATACGGACAGTTTTGGAAGCATGTACCTAGTGTGCTGCTTTTCCTTTACAGTCATTCAAGCCAGACGTGTAAACAAATGTTAAGCGTTTTTTCATCTTAAAAAATTTATGTCCGTTCTCTCTATTAGACACACCCTTCCGTTTGAAGCGTTTTTCGCTCCTAATTCTGACCCGGAGTTCACAGTAGCCCCAACATCCGGTGAACTAACTCCTGCAGGTACCGAAGGAACACTTATCAAGGTTTCGTATAAGCCCCAAATTTACGGCAAAACGCACATGGCCAAACTGGTAGTTCAGGTGAGCAAACAAGCTAGTCAATCTGATCAAGTGATACTTATAAATGATATTTTCTTTCTCTCAGGTTTTACTGATCAGTTCCAATACATGAATTTGCTAATCGTTGCTAGAGTACATCAACTTTACCCAGCTCGCCTTCCCGCCATAAACCAGCATGTTTCCTCTTTCCCTTTCCCTCACACGGAACCGCATAAAAAGAAAAACAACTTGCTAATGATCTAAACGTACGTTGATGAAAGAATGCAAGACTAAGTAAACACCTTCTGCGAAGAGATTTAGCTTCTGTTTTCGATGTATTTCCTTTTCGTGGTTTGTTCTATTTGTAATACTTGTTCATGCATTCAAACAGCAGCAAAATGTAACGATATCAAACTTGTGATTACTTGTAACAGCTGTTACTCCCCGTGCCCACCAAATTCACCGTCACTATTTGCATTGAAATAATTCGACGAGTGTAAGTATGTTCCCTCTATTCATGATCATTCAACTCTGCCCCTCGTTTGGTTTTACGAAATTTTGGTTATTGCTGGTTTATTTTGAAGCTATTGCCGCCATTTTCCTTAAATGGTCAATGGCCATACAGGGTCATTGATAGAGCATATAGTTCTCGCAATTGATATGCCTATGTGCATCGGTAACAATGCGTTGCGTATTTGGTCCACAGACCTCTGATATGCAGTGGACCTATGATGTCATCGGTACAACTGCTGACTATAGCCCTCCAAATGTGCGATCGAAAATCGTGTCTAATAGCGCCAACTTACGTAGGACAGTAAAGCAAAAGAAAAACTACGTACTGGACAACTTGAAGCTCCAAAGTACCGCAGTGTCATCTCCGTACAAAGGTGTTCCACTAGTGCCTCGATCAGCCAGATAAAATGCACACCAGACGGGTTTAACAATTTATATTATCATATGTACATACTATTTTCTAATGTGACATGCTCATTTCCACTTGCGAAAAATGCTCAACGTGTTGTAAGTTTGTTGGTTGTTTCTTTTCAAGTACAATATATCGTTTTGTATCTGGTTTACAGTAAACCATCTAACACTATAATAAAAGCATTTCTCAATTGAGTAGCCCCTCTTTACGAGTAGAAAATTGTTCCTTGGAATCATCTCTCAAAAGTGAAAATTAATTGCAGACTCTCTGCCTTTTGGCATTGATGGGAAAAGTAAGAGCTACTTTCCCTTCAAGTCGTTTGAGTTAAATTAAAAATAATAAACTTAATGGGAAATGTTTTTTGAAGATAGCCAAACCATTGAAATTAGAGAAAGTTGTTCTTCAATTGTGCCTAAGAAAAATGTTACTACCACATTTAACGTAAAAACCTTCCCTGGGAAATAATCAGCTTGACCCGTACTCTGCTTCGGAGCCGGATCCAACACCTCACTTTAATTAAGCTGTGATTTTGATACACAGTTAAATCGAAATAAAAGGAAGTTGGATCCGATCATTCAACAATCAGTGAAAATAAGTGAAATCATATCCAAATCATGAATTATTATCTGAGTGTAATAGCCAAACACTAGTGGTCGGTAGTTCTGATAGACTTGAAACATAATCGACCCGGGAGCCAACAAACCAGTCTTGAATCAGAACGAAATGTGTATATTTTAAACAATTGGTGGGTTGATTTCTGCTTATGCTGTTCTAATCAGAGATATTGGGAAAATATTATGAAGGTAAACAGACCATGGATCTTGTAGAATTACCTACTAACTGCATCGTATGTCATATGCTCGAAGGTTCCGTTATTCTCTTGCCCAAATTATGACTTTGTTGAAACTAGTTGACGGTCACCAAAACTCAAACCTGATCATATTTACACAAAGTACTCCACAACATTCAAGTTGGTGAAACATGTTCAATATTGAATGAATAAAAAGGACGAGAGAAGAAAAAGAGAGGAAGCTCTTGTTATTTTTTTGTTAGTTTTTCTTCATTTCGCTTGATTCTATTTGCGGCTAAGCGCTGTACTGTTGCCCTAAAGGTTATTGTCAACAAAATCGAATACCTTCCGGAAAAATTGTCCTACGCGCGCTACTTTTACAGGAACCGCAGAAAAATATGTATCAGTAATTTCATAAATTATAGATTATAAAGGTAACAAAATTTCCCATAGCTTCTGTTTTGCTAGGCGCGTGCGAGCCTTTAAACACAAAACTTGAGAAACTGATGGCGTTTGCTTCAATGAATTACCAGCCTCTCGCTCCGGGACATCACGAGAGATATATTTCGAATTTCTTAAAAGCCTCGCACCCTTTGGTGCGTTGATATATGACGAACATTCTGTCCAATGTTCATTAAAAATCCAACAAATCTACCTACCCTATTAATCCGTTAAAGTAGAGATAACTCGCGTAAAAACAAACCTCGAGTTTGAAAAGAAATTCAGTTTTCGCACCTCCTCAAAGCGCGCACTTAAAGTGGTCAAGCCGCCTACCAACGAAACGCAATATCGAAATCCTTGGCAAGTCTCGTGACATAGAATTCCTCTGAAATTCGCGGGAAAGTTTAATTCGCGAAACGGGGAAATCGAATTTACAATGGCTCAAACGAAATCCAAAAATCAATCGGGGAAAAAAGAAAGAAAAATGTGCAATTGCGAAAGTAAGCTGGGGAAAAAGAAAAACTCAACTTCGAGTTTTCCGGCTCAGGTTCTCTTGCGACTTTCTCCTTTGGTGAAGACTCGCATTTCCTTTTGTTTTGCGAAATATGCCTTTTTGTTGTGTAGTGTAAGACGCCATAGAAACAAAATATGCAAATCGAGATTCCAACGAAAGTCCGCGGAAAACGTTCTGTAGGCCTCTCCGATTACGACACCTTTCGCTCATCAGGGCAAGTTCCTCTTCAACATTTTACCAGCCGCATCACGCGTTCTCTTTAAGATTTTGTAATTACTTTTTCCGGTAAATTAAACTTACTGCTTTCTCTGTCTAAAGAGCAAAAAACGAGATTTTGTTGATAGTAACGTTAATATCTTGAGTCACTGAGTTCAGTTTTTATCAGGTCCTCAGTATTACACTGTGCATTGCATTCTGTACTGCACACAAAATTACGTAATCTGGAGAAATAGCGCACGTTCCTTGCGAGAACACGATATAGTTTTTCGATCAACATGCATCAGTAAACACACGGTGACCTTTATATATTTTTCACTGGATAATTTTGGTGACTAACAGACACTGGTAGAAAATATGTAAGGAAAGTTTAGAAAGTAAAAAGGAGAAAGGAAAGTTTATTTTGAGGCATTACTCAGGGCCTGTTCGTATCGTTGTATTTTTGGACGTGTTTCGGTTTGTCATCGTGGTGAACACACTTACATCACTAAATGACGGCCTCAAGGAAAATTACCCCAAGGCTCTTCATTCACCGATGCGAAGAGATGTAGAACAGTTCGTTAAGTGACGTGTTCCCATTCGACCTCGTAACCTGAAGAGTACTCACAGTATGTAGAGGTTGATCACGAAGTTAGTTTGAATAAATTAAATTAGATACACACCACTTAGGCTTATGTTTCCATTCGACCTTGTAACCTGAAGAGTACTCACAGTATGTCGAGGTTGATCACGAAGTTAGTTTGAATAAATTAAATTAGATACACACCACTTAGGCTTATGTGAAGCAAACTGTTGTTGACCGCTGGCTAACTATACAGCTGATGCCATTTCATCAAACTGTCGAAGTCTTTCGCTGTCTGTGAGTTTCGGAATACTTATCTTCTAGGTCTGAAAATCGCGTGAAAGTCAGTCTATCTAGAGATCTTTTGTGTAGGAACAAAAAAAAAATTGCTTATTAGTTTGGGTTAGTGTGTTAAATAGTGTTATGGATCCCCTTGGTGTGACAGAGGGCTTTGTGGACGCTATTTCTATACCAAGATGGGGCTCGACTCCTGTCCCTGCTTATGAGAACGTGACTCCGCCGGCCAATGACAGAAGGACGCACAGTCCATTTCCTGTGCGGCAAGACATCAACAGCAAAGTAGCACTCTGGTGAGAATGTGTTAGGAAGCAAATTAACTCATTCCTTATTAATTTATCAGGTTTCTAGTCGTAGATTTGTTTAGTGGACGTGATTTGATACCGTGTGTTGTTGTATTTCTTTATCTATTTGAAAACGGATTTTCCTTGATTGGTTCGACGTGTCTGCGAGAAGATGGTGTTCTTGTTGTCGCAGAGTGCCTCACTGCTCTTTTACTTTAGGAGATGTAGGATACTGCATCACACTTTTCGATGCGTTAGATTATCCACCGGCGGCTTGGTTACGGGTGTAGTTCAAACGACAACACACATGTTAAACTTTTACTTAGCTAATAACTGAAATGAAAGTGACTTAAAACCAAAGGATATTCTGATCAGTTAATGAATAAATACACTCACACCAAAAAATTAACGCTAACGTATGAAAAGTTTTGTTTTGTCAAGATGAAAAAGAGCAATGTAGCCCCCCCCCCTTTTAACTTGTGAAAAGGAGTTTTTATAGGGATATTGGTTAGGGTTACTCACTAAGATGTAGGCACTGTGGTAATAAGTTGTCCCAAACTCACCAAAGCATGAAACCATATTGGTAACCTTGCATAAAGGTTACTAACCTTTTAGTAACCTTGCATAAATTGAAAGTTAGGCTTTGTTATTACCTTCCTAATGAATTAAAATTTGTTGAGTTCTGGAGTAATTTGGCAGCTGGATCAATCAGAGGTGGATGAAAATAAGCCTGTGCTTTTCTGACAAAAGAAAAGTTGTGGAATTCATCTCATATCTTTAATTTCAATCAGTCAAAAAAACTTGCAGTCACTTAAAATGCATTGTGAGATATTTTTGTTCGAAGGCAAAAAACTTACAGGTTTGTTATTAGGTGTATGCAGGAGAAAACCCTGTAAACAAAGATCATTGTGTTACAATGCAAATATTTAATGGGCAATTGTGAGGCAAAATGTGATATAAGAATGAAAAATAGTGAAATTAGGCTTGTGCAGGGAAGGAAGATTTGGAGTGCAGCATCTAAATTTGAGGAATTTTTACAAACAGAAATTTGGTAACTGCAGGATACTATTTTGTGCTGCTTTTTAGACTACATGTGTCTATTATTCTGTAGTGTTGGATAGTTACCATAATTGTGAATCTCACGGTGATTTTTGGGAAGCTAGGCTTTTAAGATAAGAGGAACCTTGCATTGCTGCAAGTCAGACCAATGATGACAAGTTCACAATTATGCTTGATCTCTAGATAAAGTACTTTATGCACAAGTTGGCCATAGGTATTCTTAGATTTTAATTTTATGTGCCCTTGTGTAATTCATGTCTTTTAATCCTGGTATTGCAAATCACCATAATTACAAATAAACAGAGGAAACTTTATACAGCAAGCAGACACTACCTTGACATTAAACACAAGTCAGTGAAAAGAGGCTATTGTTTACTGAGTATGGTGTGGTTGCCCACGAATGCAGCATTCAGATTGGTAAAAGAGAGGTGCTACCCTTTTAATACATACCAGTAGGTTATTGATGATTAAAGGCAAACATGGTGTCTTGTAATACAAACCTTCAAATATTAAAAGTAAGGATCAAGGAAGAGATGTGATCAATTTAAAGGAGGAAGGATGAGAAAAAACTGGTAAATTGTCCCCAGATGTAGGGGATGTAGAGGATGTTTTGCCCGAATGCCAACAAGATACAATTAAAGTTGCATATTCCAACTATTTTTAGTTACAATAGGAACACAATAAAAGTTTGGGAAGGACAAAATTTGGATACTATTGTGTTGATATTTTGCATGCTAACTGTCATAAGTTATAATGAGTTAAGGGGGTAAACTATTTAGGTTGGACTCAGCTGCATTTAGAGATGTCAGAGCAAAGTGAAAATGTTTTACACATCAGCCATAGAAGTCTTACAGAACATTTTCCAGCAAATTTGAAATTTAAAGGTGTACAAATGGATAAACTTGATTGTTATCAACTTCTTTCATACTGTGGAAACCTGAATGGTTAAAAGAATGGTTTAGGATGTTTTTTTTTTACAAAATCATGAAAGCTGGATTTCATAAGTTTTCTTTACTTAAAAAAAGATTCCAAAA